GGGGGGTACGGGGAGGCTCCAGGGGGCACTGGGCTATAATGGGGGGGCACTGGGAGTACTGGGGGCACTGGGAGCACAGGGGCTCGGGCGGTACCTGCATGCCGCGGATGCTGTCCCGCTCCAGCTCCTGCACAACGTTCTCCACGGCCTCCTGCACGCGGCCCTGAGCGGCCTCCGCCATGCCGGGCCGGGGGGGAGGGAGGAAAAGGGGGGGCGGGGCTGGGAGGGGGCGGGGCGGGGAGGGTGGAAGGTGGGGCTGCAGGGTGCAAAGCTGCGAGCTGTGCTGTGCTGGTGTGCAGTGCTGTGCTGGTGTGTAGTGTTGTGCTGGTGTGCAATGATGCAATGATGTGCAATGATGCGTGCTGTGCCGTGCTGTGCTGGTGTGCAATGCTGCAAGCTGTGCTGTGCTGGTGCACAATGCTGCGTGTTTTGCAGTGCTGTGCTGGTGTGCTATGCTGTAATAATGAGCAAAGATGGGTCTGTGCAGTGCTGTGCTGGTGTGCAGTGCTGCATGCAATGCAATGCTGCGCTGGTGTGCAATGCTGCACATTGTAAGATGCTGCACAGTGTGCAATGCAGTGCTGGTGTGCTATGCTGCATGCTGAGCAACACTGTGCTGGGATGCAGTGCTGCACACTGTGCAATGCCGTGCCATGGGGTTGTGCCACACTGCAGACTGTGCATGATGCACACTGCTGCATGCTGTGCAACACAAGGCTGTGCAGTGCTGCATGCCGCAGCACACATCTGTGCAACACTTAAATGGGCTGTGATGGCACCCAGCTGTGCAATGCTGCATGCCATGTGATGCTACAACACGGTGCAGCATTGCACCCCAATGCAACACTGCACTGCCATGCAAACCCTGCACTGCCTTGCACTGCTGTGCAATGCTGCAACACTGTGCAAAGCTGCGCTCCAAGGTTGAGGCCCAGGGATGGAATGCAGAAATGGCTGCATAAAGTCTGTAAAGATAGGGGAATTGTGGTGGGATGGGAGAGAGTTCAGGCCAATGGGATTGGGGTGAACCCAGCAGGGCTTGGGGACAGGGCCAGGATGAAATGAGGACCCAGAAG